TTGGAGAGCGTTGTCATTTCGGTTATTGACCTGTAATGGATCATTGCATGGATGTACCAGAGTAGGTTTATCCGGGCCGCATACCTTTCTTCCCCTTGATTTGACCCTTGAAGACAAAAGTTTGCTCACCCGAGTGCTGAACAATGCGGTCTCTACTGCTCCGCCATGCAACCCAGGCCAGGTGTTGGGTGGGGTGGGGTGGGGGAGACGGAATACACCGTAAACCCGAGGGGCTCCTTCCTTTGGAGAGTGGAAACCGCATTATCCAAGTGTTCATGTCATTATGTAGGCATCCACTTCACGAGGACACCTTTAGGCAAACCGGTGCCGAGAAAGGTCCCCAGGGGCCACGGCTGGTTGAGCACTCCGCTTGCCAAAAGGGTGGTGGTTTTTACACCCTGCCCAGCGGTGCCTCGGAAGAAAGGCTTGGCGGCTGTGGTCTGCTTTGGAAAGGTCATAGCTTGGAACCTCGATGTAGCTTTTCTATTCTGCATACAAGGGTGGCCCAGAGGCAGAACCCACAGCAACTACTGTCAACCAGTGTTGGGCATAGGTTCAGGAGATTCCGGTGCCAGACCCCAGGGGGTGATGGGAAGTCCTTACCCGCATGCTCTGGGGTCCCTGGCCCGGGGACCTAGAGTGGCTCTCTTGCTTGCGGATATCCCGGCCCTAGCCAACATCCCCACCCGTGGAGGGGAATGGTGCATGTTGAAGCCCACTCCCACCTGCGGTGGAGGGCTTGCTGGCACAGTGAGGGGCCTGCGGGCTCTGCTCTGCCCAAGGCTGCTTCCCTGACTTCACATTCACTCCCAGGGAGTGCTTGACATCGTTTAATTAAAGCCCCGCCCTGGCTTGGCAGGCCTCTGAGCATGGCTCTCCTCTGCATGGCAGGGTTGCAGCTGTGGGAAACCTGGCATCTGAGGACACCCTCCTGCTCTCCAACCCTTGGCTCCCACCTCTGGAGGCGGCTCCAGGAGGGAGGCGAGCCCGCTAGGGCAGGGCGGGTGGTGGGCACTGTGAGGGTGGGCGGGCAGGGCTCAGGAAGGCCAGGAAAGCCCAGCGGGCCACTGGGCTGCAAGGAGTCTGACTCTCAGGAGACACAGCCCTTATCAGTGTCAAATGATGACAAATGGCAACAGGACAGTTGCCAGGTGGCAGCTGCTGGGGCTCAGAGGGAAGCAGGTATTTTTAGCTCTGTGCCTGGGGGCTCTGGCAGGGGTTAATTCATCATGGTGAACCCATTCGAGTTTGGCTCTTGGTCCTGGCTCCCTCCCTCCACCCCCAACCTTGTCCCCATTCCTCAGACTGGAATAGCAGCCACAAAGGTGGAAATTACCCAAAGTGGGGTCCAGGGGGACACAAAGCCATATCACTCTGTGTGCTATACCTCTTCTTCCTCATATCCTCTCCTTCCTCCTCCTTTATGTGCCTCCTGCCCATTCCTCCCTCAAGGCCTTTCCAGCCTGTCCCCAGTCTCCTCATCCTTCCAGCCTCCCCTGAGTGCCCCTCCCTTTTCCAGTTGATGTCCTTCAGAGCGCTTAGCACCAACCAGAAGCATGTCACCTGTTGATGTCTCTTTACTGTCTCTTCCATTGAAAGGCAGGCTGCCAGGGGTGGGTGGTGGGTGGTGGGGTTGGCTCCTTGTTAGGTTATTATTTTAATCCCCTTTTGAATCTGCAATAAATGGCACTGTGGTGGATGGATGGATGGGAAGCTCTCTGTGGGCCAGGATTTTAACACCCAGCGTGTTAGGTTGCTGTTGTTGGCAGAGAACAGTCTGGGAAGACAGGCTGTGCAGCAGCATCCTCCCCGGGACCAGGGCAGCCTCGTGGCTCAGCCCAGGGGATTCTGGGAAAGTGTGTGCTGGAGAGAAACAAGACTGCCCTCTGTCCTCTTGCAGTCCCAAAGAGCATACACTTGGGGGTTGATGAGAGATGGCTCTGGAATCTGTATTTTTTTCCCAGTAATATTTTCTTGGGGGCAAAATAAAAAGTAGATCCATTTTAAGGGAGTCCTAGAAGGCTGTCCTAGAAGAACTCTAGAACTGACAGTGGTCCTTTATGTCTGGGCATCCTCTCTTAAAATGGCACTGTTCTTGGTGACACTGCGGTGCCAGGCCCTGATTTAGTTGGTGCCGGTGGTCTATCTGCCCTCCTTCTTGCTGGGAACAGAATCTCTATTTGGTTCCGGCATCGGGAGGCCTGTGCTTGGGTGTGGCCCAGTCCAGGCCCATAGATCCAACCCCTGCTCTAGGCCCAGCCCCAGGCCCAAGAAAGACTTGGTGACTGGTCCAGCCACTTGCAATAACTCTTGGCTGAGACGCGGGCAGGTGAGTACAGTTCTAACAAATGGGATGTGAGGGGCTTCTGAGGGGCTTCCTCACGTTTATAAAGAGATGAGCAGAGCCCCATGTCCTTTTTCAGGGTTATTTCACATGTAGAGAGGAGAGAGGCATAAAGGCCCGTGACAGAGGTGGCAGTGGGCTGCCCCTGTGGTTTCCATTCACAAGGGGCCAAGAGGGCCCCGCAGAGATGCTCGGTGGTCCAGTGGGACCCACCCAGGGGACCTATGAAAACAGGCCCACCCGGGTCCCTACCCAATCCGGGGGGAACCTGGCTCTCGTGGGTGGGCTTGGGTAGCTACAAGGTGTCCCACAGAGGCCCGGGAGGCTGTAAACTGCTTTGAGGCCAGCAGATGCCTCGCCAAGAGAATTCCTTTCTCTCGAAGGGAACACAGGTTGCCCTTCTTACTTTCCTAGGACTGTGGGAGAAGGTTCTGAGAGGAAGGCCCAGGCCTCCACTGCAAGGTTCCCAGGAGCAGCACACTCAGAGCAGGCCTGAGCCACCTGCCCCCAGCCTCCTCAGAGCCACGCACCAAGCAGGGCTCCTCCCCGGCGGGGTCTTCTCCGGCCAGCAGCTTCGGAGGGGAAGCAAACACGGAACTCAATGGAAACCCACGTGAATGCGCTGAGGCAATGGAGACATTGCTCTTCCATGTTAACTTCTGTGCTTTCCCGACTCCTGCCATTCTCCTGGAGGACAGCGACAGAGAGGACGAGCGAGCACAGCTGTCAGAGAGGATGTGAGAGAGACCAAGCAGAAAAACACCAGGGAAAGACACCCTGGGAGACAGGTCTCTCCCCCCTCCCAGAGGAAGAAAGGGGCTGCTGTTCCCATTCTGACCAGTAGGTGTCACCAAGGCAGAAGGAAAACTGAAGGTGCTTTGGCTCTTCCAGTGGTCTAGGAAGATTAATTCTATTCCATCCAGTTATCAGAGTGCGATTGTGTGCAGGGCACCACTTGAGGGTGTGCCAGGGTGAGGGGCTCACAGCCCCTGCCCTCATGGAGGTCACTGTGCATGGGGACGTGGGTCCTGAGTCGCAAGAGAAGGCCGAAGGCATGAAGAGAGGTTTAAAGGAAGGACTGGGCCCATTGGAACAGGAGGGACCTCCGAGAAGCGAGTTCCCACTGTCTTGTGTGAGTGCAGAAAAAAGGCTCAGAGAGGAATGGGAAGTGGCCTGCAGTCACACAGCGCCTGACTCCCAATCCATCAAGGGAATTCGGACTTATAGTGGCCCGTAGGACAGACCAGAACGGTCCCCAGGGCTTCTAAGGCCGTCGGTCTTTATGGAAGCATGTCTGTCACCTCTTTCTCTCTCTGTGGTCGGTGGGCTTGAGCCGGTGACCTTTCAGTTAGAGCTGAGCATTTAACCACACACCACTAGGGTAAGGCGACCAGATTTTAACATTGGTGAAGTGGGACACCACCGATAAAACCCATATCCTGATGAAATAGCCACATGGCAGCCGAAAACTGTATACCCTAGCTTGCCGTGCATTCGTTAAAAAAATAAGGACTTTTAAAAAACGCTGCGGGACGCGGGACAAATTGTTCAAAATCGGGACTGTCCTGCCAAAAGCGGGACGTCTGGTCACCTTAGACTAGGGCTCCTCTGAGTCCGTGGGGCAGCGTGGGCTCCTGCCCTTGTGTCTCTACAATCGGAGCTGCTTTCCTCATCTGGCAGTGCAGCGAGTCACCTTCATTTGGTCATCAGTCTCCATGCAGAGGAGTCTCCCTGATGGCACAGATGGTTCATCGCTGCGCTACTCACCAGAAGACTGGAGGTTCAAACCCACCCAGGAGCCCCTCAGAAACAAGACCAGCCCATTCGCTTCTGAAAGGTCAGTTCTACTCTGCACACTTAGTGTTGTCAAGAGCTGGAACCAAGGGGCAAGTGGCTACCCGGCAACAATGACAGCAGCAGCAACTCCATGCCAACTGACTTCTCTGATGTCCACGGCAAGGCACAGGGAGAGGGAGGGCGAGGGTGCCTCTCCGAGAAGAGGCAGCTGCCTTCATGACCGCCAGGCTGTGCGCTGGACAGTCCACCGCATCTCTCCCCAGCTCTGTTCTGCAGCCTCCTGTAGGGAGGGTGAAATCAACCATGCTGGGTGAGTCCGTTCCTCCGACTGACTAAGCCTCTCTCACACGCTGGCATCATTTCGGAAGCGTGGGTTTGGAGCCAGAAATACCCTTTAACACTTGAGTGCTAGAAGTGAGGGCAGGGACCATCTCTTTACGATGCCCTTGTTCTACTGCAGAGGAACACAACTTTCCCAAGACCACCTGGACCCCGGGCTGCCCGGAGGCCCTGGCCAGAGATCCAGGCCTGCCTTGTTCTATCCTTCTCTCCACCAGGCCTGGCCTTTCCCTTCAGCCTAAAGCCGAGATTGGGCTCCTGACTCCAGAAGGGTGATGAGTTGAGAGAAGCCACAACTCAGGAGGGGCCAGTCCTCGGCGACCAGCCTAGAATGTGATGATATGCAAATGAATGGAGTGTGGCTGCCCTCCTGGTTGCCTGAAGGGGTCCTGATGTCACAATGGGCCAGCCACCAGGCTGACCTCCCCTGCGAATGCCCCATGTCACCAGCCCCAAGAATCCCCTGACCCGCTCGCTGCGTCTCTTGGCTCCCCTGTTCCTTGTCCAGCTGGCAGGGACGATGGAACCCCACTATCAGGCGGCCTCCATCCTCGTGAAAGTCAACACCTTACAGGGGAAGAAACTGGTGGAGAGCGGCCTCCAGTCCGGAGACTTCTCCCTGCCCGCCTCGTGGCCTTCCTGCGTGCCGCCTTCGCCAGACCTGGAGAGCCTGCAGCAGAAGGTGGCCGGGGTGCAGCGGGAGCTGGAGGACTTCAGGACGGAGGCGCTGCAGGCGCTCCGCTCCCTGGAAGACGCCTTCTGCGAGATGAACGCGGGGCTGGTGCAGCTGGAGCAGCAGGCGGCCCGCGTGAAGCAGCGGCTGCGCGAGGAGGAGGACCGCGGCGTGGTGCGCAACAAGGTGCTCACCTTCCTGCTGCCGCGCGAGAAGCAGCTGCGCCAGCTCTGCCAGCGGCTCGAGGCCCGCCTGCTGCGCCAGGGCCGCGACGGGCCGGGGGCCCCCGCGAGGGCGCAGCCCCACGGGCGCCCATGACCGCCCGCGGCCCAGGAGGCAGGCCAGCGCAAAGCTCCCCTCCTCTCGCCTTAGCCACGGCGGGGCTTCTCCGCAAATTACACCTGCTTGCGAGGCCAAAGACCCCGTTTGTTCTTTCCGCGAGGGGGCTTTCACCCGCAGCCCTCCAGGAAGGAGACCCTGTGCCCCCGGCCGCCCACCCCTGACACCCCATCTGCCCGACCCTGGGAACGGTCTCTGTTTGTCTGCTTCCCTTTCTGTTCTTGGTGTAATGGTGATGCCGCTCAAATGTAGACCTTGGTTTTTGATCGTTTGTGTTTTGATCGTTCAGTGTTCTTTGGCCGATGGTGATGGACAGAATTGACCTCGTAATGACTCGGGACGGGCCCACGCCCTGTCACTTCGACGTGAGCGGCTGAAAAGAGTTGGGTGCTGTGGCCCCCACCCACCCAAGGCTCCCCCGCCCACCACCAGTCCCCCCTACTTTCCTACTTCCTAAGGGAGCCCTGTTCTGGCTTTCCTGTCCCTGCGGAGGACCCCGGGGCGTAGTGGGGTACGTGCTGTTGCTCACGTCAAGGTCAGCAGTTGGAAACCGCCAGCTGGGCCAAGGGAGAAAGGTGAGGCTTTCTACTCAGAGTTACTGTCTCGCGAACGCACCCACCGGGGCACCTAGTTCTCCCCCTTCCTCTCGGTTCCTGACTGACGGCAGCAAGCTTTGGCACTAGAGGCCTGATCTTGCCCTTCACTGCTGCCTGTCCCCATCCCCCACTTCTCCTCTTAGTCTGTGGACGGGTCAGTGGCCAGCTTAGTACAGCTTAGTACGACCCCAGAGCATGTTGTCAGCTGAGCGTCAGGGCATGGATGATGGCGCGGTGACACGGATTCTCCTGCCTGAACCAGGCCGTGATTGTCCCTGGGTTGGCCTCTTTCAGACAGTTCATACCGGTCATCTCATGGTGCTCACCGGCACCTTTGAGCTAAGTGCTGCCTCCTGCTGGCCTCAGGGGACTGGCCTCAGGAGGGTGGAGCCCATTTTCCCCAATGATGCCATCCTCGGAAGTGGCAGGCAGGCACAGGGCTCAAGCCCAGGCCTCTGCCCCCGACCCCCACACCGGTGCCGAGCTCCCTCTCCCCGCCACCATGCTGCCACCCCCTGATCTGGAGCCAGACCTGACGGGACTGATGGCCGTGTCCTGACGGGGTGGGGTCATCTCACAGGGCCCTTTGGGGTGCCTTCGCTGTCACTGCAACCTTATCTCAAGGAGCCCTTTTGCTCCATAGACTTCGTAGCTCTCCCCCACCCCACCCCAAAAGCTGCCCAAGGAAGAGCCTTGGCAGAGTCAGATCACTGTCTTCCCAGCTCAACGGACTCCATAGCTCCTGATGGACTGTCCCCTCCCAGCCTCCTTCCCAGCATCTCCCAGACTAGATCTGCACACCTGGACCTGCCGAGCTGAACGTCCCAAAGGACCCTTGGCCTTCTCAGCCATTGCAGGATCCACGCGCCAACTGTGCCTCTGGGGTTACCTCCCTACTCTAACTTTAGGCAGTTTATGCTTTGACAGGTTTAGCTGACGTGGTAATAGTAGCGGCAATAACATTGCTCCTCCTCCTCCTAGTTAACATTTATGGAGAACATGATATATTCCAGGCACCGGGCTGACCCTTTACACCCACGTACTCCTCACCACAACCCTCGGAAGGGAGGTTCGACTCTAATCCTCATTGTCAGAGTCTGTGTGAGTCCCGGTTGACTAGAGAAACAAATTCATGGACACTCCTATGTGTATAAGAAACAGCTTTATATAAACACTAATTGTACATTAAGAAAACATCCCAGCCCTTTGCTTGATTGTCATCAAGCTGCCACCTGATTGACAGGCTAAACTCCACCCCGTTCACTCTTAATCCTCTCAAAATGACAGCCGATTGTGTAGCTCCCACAGAGTCTATGGGAGGCCAAGACTCGGAGAAGCTAAGTAACTTGCCCACGGTCACACAGCTGGTAGATGCAAGAGTTGAGTAGGAACAGAGGAAGGTCAGGCGCCAGATGCTGTGTCTTCATCCCAGTGTGATATTTTTGGAAGCCTGTGAATATGGGACAACTCTTTCTTGAGTAGATAAAATACCAGAGTGCTGAACTTGGTGAGAGGGATCCTAAGGGAAGAGATGTTTCATAGCGAGATTCCTATACTCCTAAACCTTGTTGGGGATGGTGTGTGTGTGTATGTGTGTGTGTGTGTGTGTGTGTGTGTGTGTTTACAAGTGTATCTGAGAAGGTGAATGTGGTTGGTCAACTATAAGAAGAGGTTAAAAATATATCAACTGTCTTATGAAGGAGAAATTAGATTAAACATTGATACGTTTGGGAAAGGATTTTAGCCAATGGCATGCTCCGCGTGAAATGGACTGTCCCAAAGGGACAGTGTTTGCGGGAAATCTCGGGGCCAGATTAAGAGAGGGAGCCTGTGATTGGTGCCCGTCAGGTCACATTGGGAGCTGTTTGGGCCTAATTCTGGCCCAACATTTTAATAGGGTCCTAGACACTCCAGAAGATGGAAATGAGCCAGCGAACCCCAAGAAGTGAGGCATGATTGGAGCACTTGGGGTCTTGGTTAGAAGTATATTGAAGGGAGACCCGATTATGGTCTTCTAAACACTGGAAGGGCTGATAAAAATCACCCTTCTTTCCCCTGTGCTTGGAACGAGTTGAGTGACACACAGGGTAGAGGCAGATGAAAACAAAATATCCTTATTGTTGGTGCATCTGCCTGAGACAATGGTTTGGGATCTGTTGGCCTCCCAGGCTTGCTGAGACCCAATCCCTGAGTCTCTCGGCACAAGTATCAGGTATGTGTACATGTATATATGTTATAGACACACACATCCACATGTTCCTTCAAGCTTTGAAAAGCGCTTGCTTTTGTTTAAATGGCCAGTAAACTGAGAGGGATCCTCTTCTGCATTTGGTTCCTATCCAAACCCCAACATCTCCTCCGTCTCATGGATTGACTCTCGCCTCCTTTTTGTTAAAATTGCCAATGTTGTGCCAGCCCTGCCTTGAACGGCTTCCAGAATCCAATTCTCCTCCTCGGTGAGGGAGTCTTCTCGCTCACGTGCTATGACTCACACTCCCCGTTACCATCGACCTAAATGGCCTTCATCTTTCTAGCTGCATCTAGCACCTTCCTCACCTTCACTTTCGGATCCGAGCTCTCTGGTGGGGCGTAAGGTTGGGGTGTCAGCAGTGCAGGGGTTACAGGAACTCGGTTTCAGACGAACAACCACTGCTGCTTATGGTATGAAACGTGGACGAAGGTCGTGCTGGGGGCCTGGTCTACAACGGAGGCGTCGCGAGTGTGGAGGCAACACAAGTGGAGTTGTCACCGCTGCCGGTGTGAGCGCAGTCGCATCGCCAGTGCTGTTGGAGTTGAACATGGCCACGTTCTAGCCATGATGGCCGCTGACACGACGCCCACGACGCCCACTTCACGGCAGGGCAGGCCACCCCCAGCTGTATGACAAGGTTTTGAAAGGTCGATCCTGAAAGTGAGCACCTGTGAGCACAGTAACATCAAGCATGTGCTGCAACGTCGTAGGTAGTAGTAAAGATTACGAATACACTGTCAGGTGCGATGAAACCAAAAATGGACAGTCGTAAGAGTGGCTCTCTGTAACTCGCTTACGTCATCAGTTGGGGACTACCTGGAAGCAGAGCCCTCAGTAAGTCCCCCCTCCCCTGGTTGATTACATTACAGTGCATTGTGGAAGCTGATTGTGTTAGATTAGATGACGGAATGGCGCCTAGACTAGTGTTTGTCCAAACCACTGGGGACCACCGCTCACTCCGGTGGGCACGTAAGGTAGCCATCACAGGTGGGCAGGCGCAGGTGCAGGGAGGCATGGGTGCCAGAGCCATTGCTTGACTTGCTTCCCTCTTCTCTTGGCGTCAGCGTCCTGAGATGATCCAAAGGGTCCCCGAGAGATTTTGCACCCTCAGTCCTTAGACTAAAACACTCACGGCCATCGAGTCCACACTGGCTCAGCGCCAGCCCCGGTGGGTTTCTGAGACGGTCCCTGTTGGCAGGAGTAGAAAGCCCGTCTTGCTTCTGCGGAGCTGTTGCTGTTTCCCGTTGCCGACTGAGACCCAGTGCAGATCGCAGCCCAATGCACAACCACTGCGGCCCCAGGCTCCCCCAGTCCCTAAAAGAAGCGTCCCCACACGTCAGTCATCACTCGCTCGGGTGACCATGTGAGGGCACTCACTTTTCTCAGTGTAACTGGGACTGTCCCCGTTTTAAAATGGAAGAGCTTGCATGCCAAAAACTCTCTTGGTCCTGGGCAAACGGGGATGGTTGGTCCCCTTGTATCAGAGAGAAAACCCTTGGAGGGGTGAAGTTTGAGGGAGGGGGGCAGGCGAAGACACAGGAAGTCAGGACAAGAAGCAAGGCAGTGGTCTCTTGCCAGGCTGGCCCATCTTGGCTTTCACGTTTAACCAGACAAGGTTGGCCTGCTCCGTCTGCAGCAGCAGGAGCTAGTCCTTGAGTTCACTTCTGCCCCCTCCTCTCGCGCACCCGCCTGCCACCTCACCTTGGCAAGCAGGTTTGAGAGCTGAGTCTCTTCTGAACAAATGGTGAGAGCCTTTTGTAGACGGCCGGGATTCCTGATTCGGCCACAACCTCACAGCTGAAACGCGCGTTGAATGGAGTCTTTCCTGGAGGCCAGAGGGAACCCACGGCAGATGAAAGTGCCTGCACTGGGGGCTTGTGACCGGTGCCAAGCAGACGGCTCCTGGTAGCTTTGGAAGATGCAGTTCCTCAGGCCTGCCCTCCACCTCCCCACTGTGAACAATCAAGTTGAGTCCCAACTGCTCTCTCTCTTTGAAGTTTTAGGACAAATAGAAGACAAAATAACAGATGGCTGGCTTCCTGGCAATAGCTGCCATTCTGAAAGGTTTTCTCCAGACTGCAATAGCACTCTTGCTCCTTTGGGCGTTCACAGCCATCAGAGGGCTGCTGAGA